TAAATCGTCAACATAACCTACATTTATACTTAATTCCATCACCAACATAGGTATAGGGATTTAAACTAATAAATTATATGAGTTTTGGTGAATCTGTGTTTTCAGGAGGGTTTATCCAGAAAACCGTCAAGGGGACCTATTCGTCAAAGGAAATTACGGAATTCCGCCGCGAAACTGACACGGAAAGACTCTAGAACACTCCAGAAGGCAAATCACCGAAGCGGAGACCGAGGCACTGCCAAGTGGGGCCGGGCGGTCCCACCTACAGGCCGGGCGGCCCTTGGGCCCACCTGTCAGCCTCCGCATCGCAATGTCGGTTCTCCACCGCCTCCTAGGTTGCATCCACGCCGTCCTTTAAGTCAGTTTAATTCAAGGGCTTATGTTGGACGCTCTGGCCTATATAAACAGCTCTGTACCCCCCTCCCTGGATCCATCCTGAAACCCTAATTCATATTCTCCTCGCCAGGATCAGAGCTAGCTATCAAGAGAAGATTAGTACTCTATAGGATCTAGTCTTATAAATAGAAATAGTGAGATGGAGAGTGAGGGAAGAGTATGGAGGAGGTGCCGGCCTGTCAATGCTCTCTCTATGGCTTGTACCTTGGTGGATCCAAGTTATATCGGATCTTGTCTCGAGATTTCTCACGGTAATCAACTTCGATTCAAGTAAGCATCTTGTTTATATTGTTCATCAGGTTTGCGACTCTTTTGAGTGCTTTATTCTCTACATAGGGGAGTAAAGTATTAATCGTAAGTGTAAACATGGTGCTTAGACTTACTTTAATCGTGGATGCACCCTGCATTTCGGAAGGTGGTAGATCGCGTGAGTGACATAAGTTCTATATAGCTTGTACTATATAGCTTCGTTGATCCTTTGTAGTCCACCTCTCATCTGTAGGCGCACATAGGACGCTGTTGCGAAGGAAAGCATCCTTTACTGGTGTATTTCCCTAGTAATGTCCCTAGTTGGATAATAGAAGACATAAGCTTACCTAAGTCAGAACTAGAGAACTTTAGTTATCATCTCTACGCTCCTATTTATCCTTAGCCTTGTTGCTACTCCTAGTTAAGTTAAACCTTAACCTAGTCGCTACCCCTTGTTAAGTTAGACCGTAGTTAGTCTCACACGTTTCCCTATGGATACGATACTTGGAATACTTCTGGGTGAAAGCTACAGCGATATCCGTGCGCTTTGCGGATTTATCTGTGTGCGTTAAATATACCAACACTCACCTCTCTCACTCTCTCCCTTCCTCACCTCTCTCGGCTGCGGTGTTGGAGGGCCCGACCTCGCTGGTACGAGCGCGGCACGGCCTCCCGGTGCAGCAGCGCGTCCTCGTGGGCTCCCAGCGCGGCACGGCGCAGCCTCGCCCCTCCTCCTTGACCCTACTCCGCGACCGGTGTCCCTCCTCCATGGTGGAGCGGCTAGATCTGGCTGCCCGTGCTTGCTGGCGGTGGATGTGGTTGTGGAGGCGCGGATCCGGTGGTGATGCCCCTCCCCAACCTGAGCAGGCTACGGTGCCGCTCCTCCCCGAGCAGTGGTTCTTCCCCACTCCTGACGGTGGATCCCTCCTCCCCCACACACCGGATCTGGTTGTGGAGGCGTGGATCCGGTGGTGGTTCGACCGGATCCAATGGCAGAGGCGTGGCGCGGGGCTCGGCCCTTCTCCGGCGGTGGCGGCACGGACGCGACGGCAGCGGGCTCGGTGGACCTCGGGAGCGGGCTCGGTGGGCCACTGGGCTTGCTAGGCTCTTTTTTAATTCATGAAATTATTTACGGAAGCGGGTGTTTTACTGCAACCGCCTCAGTTAATCGATTAAGGCCCGATTAACCGTGACCTTTTGACGGAGGTGGTTGGCTTGCTCGCCTCGGTTAATCGATTTTGCCCACCTTGGTTAAGTTTTCTACAGTAGTGAGACGGATGAAAGCTAATAAGACTCGGGTGCAATTTTGCCAAAAGTGGAAGGCTACTCAGCACCAAATAAAGAAAACAAAGGAAGAAAAACTGCAAAAGTCTTCCAATGAATTTGTGTGGTGTGTACAGTTACATACTTACAAAGTATTTGCTATTTGGACATCAAGTTCACATAGATGGTTGCCAACTGGGATTAGGTCAGAAGATTACGTTCTTTGTGGTGGAACCTGCTCATCAAAGTCCTCGACTTAGCACGGTGCTTGCATTTCTTGAATTTATTTTAGGATGTAATAACAACGCTATTTCTTTCACTAGTAGGTGGTGTGCATCGAGAGTGAGATGCCTGTAGTGACCTCATTAATCTCAAGATAAGTTTTCGGTCCAGCTTAGTCTCTCGAAGGTGCCAATAGAGATTGGCTGTGCGTGCATGTATGTGCGCGTCTGCGTCTGTGTTTTAAAAAAAGTTCAAATACATGGTCATAGAAAATAAATGTTTACAAAAACCATGTTAATTATGAGTAGATTCATTAATGGGGTATAACCATCAACTAACAGTAGCTTTCTAGCTCAAACGGACTCTCCTTTGATCCATTGCACGCTAAATGTAATTGGTAGGGATGAAAAAGGTCAGAAATGATCGGAAGAGGCCTAAATTGTTTTCGTTTTCATATTTTTCACGAAAACGATATTGCTATAAATGAATACAACACCGGTATTTTGGCATATTAATATCGATTGGAAATTGATAATGTGTAGTAAAAAACAATTAATGATAAACCAAGTTTTCAAACATGCTTTACTGCCCCCCCCCCCCCCCAACTAAAACTAACAATAATATAATGCTTTACTACCCGTACAAGTTTATACATACATGTAAACTGATAGGTTCAAAAGCCACAGGATTCGAGGAGTGTGGAATATAGATAAAAACGGCATAATATCATCGGGAATTTCCGGACTAAAATGGTAAAACGGTCAGAAAATGTGGTCATTTCATTATAGCCGTTCCATTTCTCTACTTCCATTTTTATTAAAAATGTGATAAAACTTTTAAAACGAGTCCCTGAAAACGATGTGTTCCATTTTTGCTTTCGTCCCTAGTAACTGGGTTAATAGACACTTAAGAACATGTAACACGTGTAACACAAATTTATATATATATATGCCGGCCGTCGCAGGGACGAACTCGCTAGTGTAAAACTAAAACCAACCAATTTCGTGCAATTATTCATGTTAAATTTCATAGTGGGCTGCTGCTAGCCACTGATATATTAATGGAGTACTCCTAATATCGTTTTCGGCCGGTCCCCCACACACATACCTAGCACTTCATTGTAGTACGCGCATTGTATCGTTGGATTCGCTCGTTTCGTTTTCAATTGCAAAATTGACAACAGGCGAATGATTCTTACCTCCACCACTAGCCAAAAGCTAGCTCTAGCAGAGGGACCGAACATGGCTTAGGCCATGTCCCAACTGCTGGGGCCCACCTGCATCCTAATGTTTCGTGACGTCATCCTTACCTTAGCATGTCCTTGATAGTGCCCACGTTGCCCTCCAAGTCAGTGTTTCCAGATTCCAATAACACATATGTTTAGTAGTACTGTAGCAATTGGCACTTCCAAATAGCACATATCTATGTTTAGTTGAAACCGGAGCTCATCATCTCTTCCTACATGCATTATACATGCTTTATATAGTGACACACATCATGAATAACATATATCTTTAATTAGTTTTTCCTATATTAACAACGACAAAAGCGAACTGAGCATAGTTCAGTTGCCTACGTTTCTTGTGACGGAACATGTCCATATAGGTTCAAGTCATGAACTTGACATATGTGCTTGTATTTTTTTCTAGATTTATTTTAGGATTTAACGGCGCTATTCTTCCAGCAGTAGATGGCATGTCCTCTACGTGCATTCATAACGAGGTGGTTATACGGGTAGAGTGTGCGTGCTTTTGTTGATAGGGGTGCGTATATGCTCGTGTATATGTGCATCTGCGCTTGTATTGTATCTCAGAAAAAATATTAACAGTGACAAATGTGGCTAATTTATAAGCATTACAAGAGTAAGTTAGTGCATTTAAATGTAGGAAACTTATATGTTACGGATTACTTTTTTTGTTGTTTTTGTAATAAAAGTTATGTAATTTAGATAAACTTCATAGGTTACATTAGATTATTTTTCACCATCATAGAGGTGAGTAGTTTAAACAAAGATTAAGGGGTTAAATTGTTAGTAGTAGTCTAGACTTTGAAAAATACACAACTAAATTTAACAAACCAACATATTGATGTGTTGTCTCTGGTCCTTTTGACTTCATTCCAAGATCTCTGATCTGCCAGTAAAAGAGGAAGACCAGTACTGCTTCAATAGTTCATTTTAAGACTAATTATTCTTGTCATAAACATAAGATATTTAAAACAGAGGTGGTACCACTAAAAGGCCATTCTTTCTATGACCTTGAAAACAAACATTGATCTTTCTAAAGAAAATATTCCACTACACATATATGGAAGACTAGTTAGTTAGACCTCATGCATTTAAAAACTGAGGGAATGCATTTCTCTAGCAGAAGAAACTGTAACAACTATGTGTAACTTCTGCGAGTTTTCAGCATAGATAATTATGGTGAACTTTACCCTAGTGCATTGGGCACACGCGCCACAATATTTTATTGATCGACCTGACACAAAGCATGTCAAACCAAGTCAAGAACAGCAAGGAACAAAAGGGCAGGTTGGGCTCTCTCATTTCTTGTGACAGTGGGCTAGTCATCATAGCTTAGCTTTATCATACACGAAGCAACTTCCATTGGTCGGCCGATGGCATTCATGGAATAAGCGCTTAGACGTTGGGTCAAATCCATATACCACTTCCTTTATAAATTACAACAATCCACTACTGGCTCCAACCCCCTCACGCACTCAGCTCAGATACACCACCATTCACCACTACCACATAATTGTGAAAACTTGTGATCTTGTTAAACATCCAAGAACAGAGCTTCACAACTCACCACAATTCTAGCTCCTAGCTCCTTGCAGCTATCTTCCATCATCAGCTAGCCATCATCATGGGAAACTGCCTGGTGATTCAAGACAGGAAGGAGATCAAGATCATGAGCGTCTTGGACGGCGGCGAAGTCCTCAAGATGCCATCCCCGGGCATGCACAGCTTGAAGAAGGTCCCGGCCGAAGCTGCCCTCTGCGAGCCCCTGCCGGCGGCAGCTGCTGCCGGCGTCGACGACCCCGCTGGCGCCGCCGTCAGGGTGAAGCTGGTGATCAGCAAGCAGGAGCTCAAGAAGATGCTCGACAAGGAGGGCATGTCGCTAGACGACGTGGTGTCTCTCATGCGCAAGGAAGCGAGTGACCGAGAACAGGAAGAGTTCTGCTGCGGAGGGTGGCGACCGGCGCTGGAGAGCATACCGGAAGGCAGCGATCTCTAGCACGCACGTACTGCCTGGCATCGTTCATCGTTCAGATATCTTGTGAAAGTCACAGGATCAGTGATCGTGCCTACACTACTACATACAAGAAGTTACACAAGATACTTTTTGGAATAAGCGTAAGCAAAACATATGTATGTTGGGTATATATATATACACACACATGTAGATTATTATATGTAGAGAAAATATAGTATAGATATAGATGGTAGGAGTTTTGAGATAGGATTCTCTTCATCTTTTCTTGTTGGCTACATGCTTGTAAAGAAGAGGTAAAGATGATCCTGGAAATCAAGCAAGGTTTTATATGGTAGTACTATACTATGTGTCCTCATCATTGATTCAGTCATCACAGGTATGATCTCATCAAGGGATTTACATGTTTCCTTTTTTTTTTAGAATTACACAGTATGTATTTGGCCTTTATTAATTGTCAGCTTCCTATCTATAGGATGGCAAGAGTTTTCTTTTAGTAGAAAGAATGATTAAGTTTATAAGGAAATCGGACCCGAAAACCATATAGCTAGCTAGCACCAGACTTCTACAAACAACTTTGGTACAATGATCAACATAGCTAACAACACGGTTTTCCAGAGGGTGAAAACAGGTAAAACTCTCGCATGACTATAATTTTGATAGAATAACCCATGGGACGAGAAGTTCACCCATAACAACAACTCAACAAGAGGAACAACTATGTTGGGACCAACAAACCTATGCCCTGGAACAATACTAACAGTCTAACACACCAACTAAAACAACTACAAAGACGAAGCCGCAATTATAGGGGCACCAAGCAAACTAAAAGAACTTTGACAACCCATCGACAACCACAAGCAGAGCGCCTCGAAAATACAACTAGAAGATGGAGACGAGATCATGCACCATCACTACTACAAAAACTATTTTTAGAGACATGTTCCTTTTAGTCCAAAGATGGCTCTATCAAAGCCTGTCTCTAAAATGGTTTTTAATCTAGCCCACCTTGAGAAATTGATTGTTAAAATTGGTTGGGCTAGACTGCCCTCTATTTTTAGTTTCCGCCCGCCTCTAGAAATTAATTCTAAAGGCGGTTGGATAGTCGTCTTTAGAAATTGATGATTTTTAGAGACACGTGAGTACAAGTGGGCAAAGCAGACGCCTCTACAAACCCATCCAGCTACCTCGTAATTAAACCGTAGTATTTGGGATTGTGGCTTCTGGCTCCAATATCCCTAGTACACCACAATCCCAAGACTGCCGGAAGCCAAACTAGATAGGGTCCTAGGTTCTTCCATATTTCATATAGTTATATTATGGTGTAGTGTGATTTTACATATTATTCCCTCCGTCTCAAATCACAAGACGTATTGTCTTTTCTACGTACATTATTTTTACTATATATCTAAACATAATGTATGTCTAAATATATAGCAAAAGTTATTGTATCTAAATATGTCAAAATATCTTATAATTTGGAACTGAGGGAGTAACATATAGTTATGTTATTCTGCACTGTTGGCATTAACATGCAGATGAAAGTACGTTAGAATGAGTTAAGTCCGAAGAATTCGCACGGTTTTACCCCTTAGCTAGTAGTAATAGACAGTTCCTTCAGTATAAAAAATAGACAGTTCCTTCCTCCTGCACGGAAATGGGCGCACGTCACTTTCGATTTTGGATGGTGCAAAATCCGCCTAAACAACCAAGGTCTGTCATGTCGGCATCTGCAAGCATGCCAAGATCAACATGCGAGGATGTTCTCAAAGATCGAACCACAGACGGATTCATGATAAACTAGCAACATCGGAGTGACTTCCAATACTGAAGATATTATTTCGCCAAGTTTGTGCTTACCTGTCCCTCACCAAAATCTGGGAATGATCACCACCCACCAGGACGTAGCTAGCCCATCACAATGCCGACGCGTGGTCCGGGACCGGGACGGACACCCTGGCTGTCGCGCCACGCCGACCCGGCGCGGCTGTTCCTGGCCGGCGACAACATCGCGCACAACGTGGCGTTGCGCGCGGGGCGGGAGGGCCTGGGAGACGGCGGCGCCACTCCCATGATCCGGGGCCTCGAGCTGCTCGACCCCTACTTCTGGGGAAGCGCCCCGTGCCGTCGGAGACGAGCGACGAGGACACGCGGCGGTGGCGCGAGCGCACGTGGAGCTTCGTGTGCGGCGGGCGCTATGGGATCGACGACCCCGTGATCAGCCATGCCGCTGGCTCCTGTGCGCGTCACCGTGGCGGGGCTGGACATGCTCAGCGCGAGGGGCCGTGCGTACGTCCACGCGGCTCAGGGCGAGGCGGAGCTGTACGAGGCGCCCGGCGAGTATCACGTCTTCTACTTCCTTAACAAGCCCGACAGCGAGGTTAGTCTCTGCTCGTTTCCTGGGAGGCGTACGTGTGCTGCGGCACTTGCCCGCACCAACCCGCAAAAAAATAGCGGCAACATGTGGGCCGCCGCACCGACTCTCTTAGGACTTGCGGCTCCAGCGGACGTGGGGTGGGCTGCCCACCGCCGCCCCATTTGCATCCGTACTGGGCCCTAAAAGGTAGTATGGGCCTGACCAAGTCTCACCCCCGCATACGTACGTACACTACTTCGGCCAACCGAGGTGCTCATACCAGCCCACCCAAGCCCAACGAACGACGTGTTTGGATCAGGGAACGGAACCATCCGAACCTAAATGTCACGTTTGGTTTGGTGGAGGGAACCGGTCCATCCGTCACCAGGTCGTGCGCGCTCTCCGCAGTGGACAGGAGTCAGCCGTTCGTTCCGTCAAAAACGCTCGGACGAGGACGACACCGTCGGTCATCATCCGAGCCTCCTAGGACTGATTCCATGCCGGATGCATTGGTGCCGAACGTGGCCGTTCCTCAGTCCAAACACGCTGGCGGCGAGGAGCGCGGCGGGTGGCTACAAGCGCGGCGGCGTCGGCGTCGGCGGAGGGCTCGGCCGGGCACCGGAAGGGCGCCGAATGCTGCCTCCACCGCCGCGAGCGAAGGAAGTCCGCCCCACGCCTGTAACCCCTTTAGCAATTCGTGCTTATTCGTTTGCCACTTTCCATTTGCAATTACGCTTGCACATTTGTGATGACCATCGCCTGACTTAATTCAGTTGTCAGTTTCATTCTCTCTACTGTATCCACCCCCTTATAAATGCCACCATTGCACCATTAAGATTTTAGACTCCTACTATGACAAAACTTTGGACCAGATCTAATTTACTACTACTTTCTGCGACTCGGAGGTAGTACCAACTAAAAATTGCATCTGTACCAAGTTATGAGCAGCAGCAGCTAGGGAATTAAAAGAACACAGCTCATAAGTAGCAGAACAGAGGTTTTTCGTCCCCAGCCGAACACAGTGACACAGTGTTGATTGCGTGTCCAAGGTTTCTGCCATGGCCACTCCCGTAACCGCTCCCCCACCGCCTCCGCCCTCTTCTCCGGCGAACCCTACCACCGTCGTTCATCCTCCGGGAACCCCCGTCTCATGGGCGGATTCTGCTAAGGGATGGAAACCGGTCGGGGATCCTGGCGGTGTTCGGGCGAGAGAAGCAGTGTCTGAGGTTTTCACGAGGTCATCGCCGACGATTACCGAGAGCGTTCGTCGGCGAAACAAGCCCAAAGGTGTCGGATTTCCTTTTGATTCATCGTGGAAGTTTTGCGCGACGGAGGTGTTTCCACTTGAGGAGATTGGACGGGAGGTGGTCAAGATCAAATTGATTCCGATCAGCTTCCGATGGACCTCCAATAGCGGACCGGAGGAGGGGGTACCAAAGGCGGGAAAGGAGAGTTTCAAGTCCATCCACCCGGTCATCAAGGGACCTACCCGTCAGCGACCATGGTTCCGGCCACCTCCTAAGGTGAGGATCGTACCTAGGATCCTAGGGCGGATGCCTGGAGATGAGACACGCGTCGGTCATCGGAGTGGAGGTGAGAGGGAGGTGAGGGAAGACAGCGTGTCTGCTCACCGCTCGTCGTTTACCTCCCTCGGCTGCTCAACCTTCCCTTTCCAATCTCAGATTGCGACTCCTCCTAACCCTAACCAATCCCCTCCATCGGAGCCCCTAAATCCATCTCCACCAAAATCCAATACCTCCAACCTCACTAAATTCGTCAGCCACCTATGGAAGGGTGCTCCTACCAAGTCCTATGCATCTGCGGTGCTATCAAAACTTGCGGATACGGTGTGCGTGAAGATGAGCCAAGGGGGGAGTCATCGCAACTTTTTTGGGTAGGGCCGAGTTGGGGTGGTGGAGGTTACGGCTGGGGTGGAGGTGGAGGCGGTTGCCATGGTTGGGGTGGTGGTGGCGGCGGCCATGGGAGAGGGCAGGTAAGAGGTGATCCTAGAAGAGGAAGGGGGCGCAATGTTTGGGATGTCGTGACTAGAATGATGCTTGTTGGTATATTTAACGCACACAAATAAATCCGCAAGCGCACGGAAGTATTCCAAGTATCGTATCCATAGAAAAACGTGTAAGACTAACGACGGTCTAGCTTAACAAGGGGTAGCGACTAGGTTAAAGTTTAACTTAACTAGGAGTAGCAACAAGGCTAAGGATAAATAGGAGTGTAGAGAGAATAACTAAAATTCTCTAATTCTGACTTGGGTAAGCTTATGTCTTATACTATCCAATTGGGGACTTGTCGGGTTCATAAACCCGGGGTCCCTCATGGACCAGCTTCCCAACAAAAGCTCGGCCCAGCAGACAACGTTGCAAACGGCGCGCAACTCCTGGGCCGGCCTAAAAACCTAAACGACAGGCCGGAAGGGCGATCCAAGTCTCCGAGCGGAAGGCCTGGCCGAGGAGGAAAGACGCCTGCTTTCGACTCTAGCCCGCCTCTCCGACCGGAAGGCCTCGCTTCCAACTCCGACCAGCCTCCATATGGCCTCTCCGACCGAAAGGCCAGGCCAAACACCACTTTCGACTCCGACCCGCGTCTCCGACTGGGGATGTGCCAAATCCCTACTCACCGCTCTTCTCCAACTGGCGCAATCAGAGCCGAC